TAAAATTACATACTTCTCTGGCTTGAAGTGTTCTTATATGATTAATTTGTTCTTAACCTTTTTGGGCTCATTTTTTGAGAATCTGGTGAAAGCTATGGAGTCTCCCTTCCCCCATGCTTTTCCTTCTCGTGGAAGAGAATACATTTTTAAAAGTTCATGGACGCCCTGAAAGAGATCCACGGAACCTTGGTCAGAAACGTCTACCATTAACGAGTATTTCTAAATCCCTCAAATGAACATTTATAGAAACTGGCAATTAAAATCATTGTTGATTTAAAAATGTGGCCCATTTCTGCTTTATCAAACCATATTCTAAATGTAATTTTCCATTTCCTTGAAGATCAGGGGTCATGATGAGTAATCACTGTAACACCACTAATCTAAGAAATAGCAAAAAAGGGCAGGCAATGCCCTGAAGGAGTTCTAGAAAGGCACTAGGCTCTGATTTACAAGGATAATTTTATACTTACTGATTCTGTAGTCTTGGCCATCTCCTCCCTCATACAATTCTTGTGTCAATTCTTATGACCTCTCTTCTAATTCTGTTCCAGTAGTAAACCAGAAAAACAAGCTTGTAAAGTAAAAGTAATGGTACCCCTAATGCTGGGGGTCAAGGGCTCAGCATTGCCTGAGGACAGTGGTGCTGTAGAGAAACACCCGGCAGTCTCCAGGGGGCAGAGGCCTCTTAGTATTTACTCCAAGGTCTAGCTGTGCTCTGGCTGCTTGAAGCTGCCAGCAGGATGCAATGGGACTCTCTGTAGAGGGCTTTTTATCATCTTTTAAAAATTTTTTTATTTTTATTTTTTGAGACAGTCTTGCTCTGTCGCCCAGGCTGGAGTGCAATTGCCGGACCTTGACTCACTGCAATCTCCACCTCTCAGGTTCAAGTGATTCTCCTGCCTCCGCCTCCCGAGTAGTTGGGATTACAGGCGCCCACCACCACGCCTGGCTAATTTTTGTATTTTTAGTAGACACCGGGTTTCACCATGTTGGTCAGGTTGGTCTCCAACCCCTGACCTCAGGTGATCTGCCTGCCTTGGTCTCCCAAAGTGCTGGGATTACAGGCGTGAGCCACTGCGCCTGGCCTATCATCTTTAAAAGAAAGCTCTAGCTATCCCCTTTAGTTAACTATTAGAGTTTGCAAAAGAAATATCTTCTTTTTATCCTTTCTATTGTAATCTTGCTGTTAATGAATTATATAAAATAGGCCTAATTTGTACTAAACATGAGTATGTGTTTATATTTAACAGACAAAACATTGTTTTGGTGGTAAAACTTTTCCTATAGGAGGAAGACATTTCTTGCTCCTTTGATTTTAGGAGAAATCTGCTTGCATCCCAATAGGACTTACAAAGGGTACAGAATAGCTAGGGAAGAACTGAGCTATGGAGGTGTCATGTCTTACACAATAAACTGTGGGGTCAGGCCCTTTGTTGCTCAAATCCAAGAATTTTGAGAACTTGTGAACTCCTGTTGTGACCCTGGAGCAGTGGAGGCGAAGGGTCTAGGAAACAGGATAACAGGATTAATAAAGATCTCCGTATTTATTTACTAATATGGTTGAATAATGTGAATCCACTGTTTTATAAATAAAGCACATTTCCACAGGAAGCAAAGCTGTGTTTCAGAGACAGTGAATAAATAGTTTCCGTTGGTTGCAACAACAAAAAAGTCTTTTCCTGGGTCTTGAAATCAAAACCTGTAATTTTTTTTTTTTTTTTTTTTTGAGACAGGGACTCATTCTCGCCCAGGCTGAAGTGCAGAGGTGTGATCACAGTTCACTGCAGCCTGCACCTCCTTGGTTCAAGCAATCCTACTGCCTCAGCCTCTTGAGTAGTAGCTGGGATCACAGGTGCGTGTCACCATACCCAACCTTTTTTTTTTCCTTCCTTTTTTTGTAGAGATGTGGTCTCACTACTTTCAGACTCTTCACAGAGAGAGAAAAAAAGAAAAAAAGATGTGGTCTCACTATGTTGCCCAGGCTCATTCCAACTCCTGGGCTCAAGTGATCCTCCTGCTTTGGCCTGTAATTGCTAATTCTATGGGGGAAAAAATCAGCTCATACCAGAATTTATGTGAGATGACGTCTTATGGCTTCAAATTCATAAGAGGTTTAGTAAACAAAAGGTCTCTGCAATTCAAAGCTTAACATATATGTGAAATATAGGACCCAAAGCATCTGATATCAGTGTGATCAGGATAAAGTGGTCACTGAGATATTAAGTGATCAAATGAATAAACAGCCCAGTGTTTGCTGTCATCACACTCTTAGTTCCATTTGTTCCAGGCCATTGGATTAATCTAAATACCTATTCTACACATGTCCTAACCCTGGAGAGGGAGTTACTGAGGCATACAAAGATCTCGATAAAATGCAGACACCAAAAACTAGTCCTCTTACTGGAGATATATTGTTTTCATGCGTAGTTTGCAAAGAAGGCTGTTTATTGTGCCAAGCCCTTCCTTTCCATGCACTGATCCACACCAAGTTACATTTATCTCTTGGGTCTCAGTTTCCTCAGCTTTAAAATAAAGATGATAATCACAGTACCTATGCTCACAGGAATACATGAGAAGATGGAATGAGTTAATAATAGAAAGCACTAAGCATTTGTATATTATTACTTTATTATCAATACTTAGTAAAGTTATGCGATTAACGTATCAAAAGTTGGCCAGGCACAGTGGCTCACACCTGTAATCCCCACACTTTGGGAGGCTGAGACAGGAAGATTGCTTAAGGCCAGGAGTTTGAGACCAGCCAGGGCAACACAGTGAGACTGTCTATACAAAAAAACAAACAAACAAACAAAATTAGCCAGATGTGGTGGCCCATACCTGTAGTCCTGGCTACTCGGGAGGCTGAGGGAGGAAGATCACTATGGCCCAGGAGTTCAAAATTCCAGTGAGCTATGATCACATAACTGTACTCCAGCCTGGGTGACATAGCAAGACCCTGTCTCTATTACAAAAAAAAAAAAAAAAAAAAAAAAAAATCAAAAGTAAATTTTCTGTATCCCAACCCATTTGAAAAATAATCGAAGATTCAACCCACAATGGAACTACAAAAATAAGATATTTTGACAATGTGCAGTAACTATATGAAGAAAATGAAGATTCTGAAGGTTATAAAGATTTAAATGAAAAGACATTCCACATTCCTGAATATCAAGTTTCCATATTATAAAAGATGTCGATTTTTCCTAAATTAACCTATAAACAATGCAAATCCTATGAAAATACCAAAATAGCTTTTTTGGGAACTCAATAAAATGATACTAAAGTTCACCTAGAAAAATTTGATAGAAAATTTCTGAAAAATAATAGTAATTTAGGTGGATGGAATAGGAACTTCTTCCACTACATATTAAAACATACCATGAATTGAAACAGGGAAAAAGAAACACAAAACAAACTGTACATCATTAAAGGAGAATCCAGAAATAGACCACAATACAAATGGAAATTTAGTCTATGATAATCGTGGTATTTCAGTTTAGTTGGGGAAAGAGAGATTACCCAATAGGATCTGGTATAACATCTGGCTGTTTAGAAAGGAGAGAAGCTGGGCCATTATGAAATACTCTTATCAAGTCAGGGTTCCGTGCTGGAAACAAACTTCTCTAGATATTTCAAGCAGAAAGGCATTTAATACAGAGAATTAGGTCCTTACAAAAATCATTGGAAAAGCAGTAGGAGCAGAAACTGGAGGCCCACGATCATTTTACCATCTGTGACCCAAAGGACAGGAAGCTAGTGCTGCTGCCACAGCATTAACTCATACCCATGAAGCAGGTGACAAGACACTAAAATGTGGAGTCTGGCTGCTACAAACAATTCTTGTCTGCAGGAGCTTGTCTGCTGGCATAGTAGATGGCCTCTGCCTCCAAATCTTGACCAAGTGCACATCATTGGTAGAATGTAAACTGTTCAGACCTTACTTTTCTTAGAGTGTGAAAAACTTCATGTTTAGCCTTTCGTCCCCTGTGGTATGGGGTAAGGAGGCATGGGACGCCATGCCAAGTGCTAAGAGACAATATCTAGCACACATTCTTACACTAAAATCTATTCCAGATGGGTGAGTTACCTGTAAAAAATAGAATGAAACTATCAAAATGTTCTAGAAGAAACCATGCATGAATTTATAATCCTGGAGTGTGGAAGGTATTTCTAAGCAGCACGTGAAATTCAGAAGTCAAAATGGAAAAGTGATGGATTTATCTACGTAAAAATTAAAAGTGGGTCAAGCACGGTGGCTCACGCCTGTAATCCCAGCACTTTGGGAGGCCGAGGCGGGTGGATCACAAGGTCAGGAGATCGAGACCATCCTGGCTAACATGGTGAAACCCTGTCTCTACTAAAAATACACTAACAAAAAGCAAAAAAAACAAAAAACCAAAAAAAAAAAAAAAAAAACACATTAGCCGGGCATGGTGGCAGGTGCCGTAGTCCCAGCTATTCGGGAGGCTGAGGCAGAAGAATGGTGTGAACCTTGGAGGCGGAGCTTGCAGTGCGCCGAGATTGCACCACTGTACTCCAGCCTGGGTGACAGAGCGAGACTCCATCTCAAAAAAAAAAAAAAAAAAAAAATTAAAAATGGGTATCTGTCAATATTTAAATGCACAAATCCCTTGACCACTGCTAGGAATTTACATTATGGAAATGTCTGTGTAAGTCTGCAAAGGTATGTACCCAAACAATGCAGCATTATTTATAAGAGCAAAACTCTGAATCAATAAAACTATGGTCTGCTGTATGACAGAACACTATGAGGTCAAGTAAAAGAACAGATTTGAAACAAAGATGTTCCCTTTGTTTAACAAAACACATCTGCAGACATATATTATCTAACCCTACACAGAGATTACATTATTTTTGAAAAAGTCATTAGGAGATATCTTGGTGGGAGTATTACGGTAGATTCCTTTTCTTCTTTGTTACTCTAGAACTTTTAAAATTTCTAACTTTCCCCTCTCCCCTACAGAAAAAACAAACCAGAATAATTTTTAAAATTCTATATTTATTTTCTCTTAGAATGTTCATGATTTTTGGTATTCTAATTTAAACACACATGATTTCAAAATTATATAAAATTGTGTTCTTTAGAAGTATGTGGCAAAATAGTATACACTGTGAAATCACTCCATTTCTATTAATGACTGAATTATTTTGCACATAAAACAAACTGTGAATTTTAGTTGAAAGAAAAACTACACTTAGAGGAAACAATTCTATCATACATACACATTTACAGTTTTTACTTTTACAATCTCTTTATTTAAAATCATTCTTTCCCAAAAAACTATACTTCAGCATGAGATGTTTAGATGTAAGTATCCAATGGGTAATTAGTATGTACATAGGTGGTTGTGAGAAATTACCCACAACTCTAATATATTCTGCTCCAAAGGTGAAAAAATTTCCTTTTAGAAAGCATTTTAACATTTCTTCTCATCATCTACAAAGCAGCAGCAATATTTAAATTATCAAAAATGACAAATCCAGTAATACATAATCATAAACAGTTCCTTAAGAAATGTATTTGAAAAGCCATTATTCCATAAAATATTTACATTGTTTAAATTACATGACAGCAACATTTTCTTTCTATTTTAGTTCAACATATTAGTAAGAATCTCTAAACCCTCCAAAAAGAAAAGCTATTCATCCTTAATAAAGGAGACTTTATCCTTGGGTTTATTCAGCATCTTTATATCATCCAACAGCTTTTTGGGAGTTAAAATATGTGTAGAACCTGGGAGGAGAAAAGAGAATTTTTCAGAGGCCAGCAGTTAAATCAGTTTTCCTTCGCTTAATATAATGTGTTGTCCTTCAAGTATGTAAAGTGCAGTAGCCTGGCGCAATGTAACAAAATTTCTCTAAGACATCTTCCTGAAATCTGCCTACACTGCAATATTTCAATCCTTCTTCACCGTTGAGCATGCTCAGTAACTTTGCAGAAACAGTGGCCATTCCTAGTGCTTTGTCTACTTTGTGCTAGACATTGGCACACTGAAGAGCAAAACTGGGGATTACCCTATCCTTAGCACTACAACAGTTATTGTTCGATAATAGAGACCCACTAAGCAGTGCTGCAGGTCAAGGCTTAACACACAGATCCAGCACCTCCATGGGTCAGGAGAGTTTACCTATCATTGGCTTTGACTGAAATTCTTATTTTTTAATTTTTTGTAGAGACTGGGCTTTATTGCCCAGGCTGATTTCAAACTCCTGGCCTCAAGTGACCCTTCTGCCTCGGCTTCCCAAAGTGCTGGAATTATAGGCCTGAGCCACTAGCCTGGCCTGAAATTCTTAAAACTTAATTCCACACAGGCCTTGCCAATGTCATATCCATAGCCACAAAAAATTCAAAATATTTTTTAAGTAGAAATGTATTTGTACATCAAAAACTATTTAATGGTTAAACAAATGTATAGAACATACTATTTTAAAGGAGCAAGCACCTTTTCCTCAAATAAGCATGTTTGAAAATAAAACTATCAAAACGTCAACCAGGAAAAAAAACCCAGCACACATCAGATAAAACACATTCTATGGTTAACAATTTTTTTGCATTAAATTTTGTCTCAAATGTGTAACACGAGATAACATTTTACATGTATACTTTTGCATTTAGAGTTTGTGTTTAAAAACAGAAAAGAAGAAAACAAAAGTCTTACCAATAATAACTTCACAGGATTTATGTGCCTGAGAAACTTCATAAGCACAACGCATTTCAGAGTATGTAATCCCTCCAATTACAAAAACAATCAGCTTTGACCCATTTTTTCGGTCTTCTAAATAATTAGCTCTGGGTTTCTGGCGAGCACTAAAAAGTAATTAAAAAAAAAAGTAAACATGTTATAAATATTTCCAAAGCCATAATACCTGTAGACTTAAAAAGCCTAACTTAACCAAACTTAAACTTGCTACCAATTACATTGATTTTTTTTTTTTTTTTTTTTAATTTGAGACAGTCTCACTTTGTAGCCCAGGCTGGAGTGCAATGGAGTGATCTTGGTTCACTGCAACCTCTGCCTCCCGGGTAATGGTTCAAGCAATTCTCCTGTCTCAGCCTCCCAAGTAGCTGGGATTACAGGCACATGCCACCATGCCCAGCTAATTTTGTATTTTTAGTAGAGACAGCGTTTCACCATGTTGGCCAGGCTGGTCTTGAACTCCTGACCTTGTGATCTGCCGACCTCCCCAAAGTGTTGGGATTACAGGCGTGAAAGTGTTGGGATTACAGGCGTGAGCTACCGTGCCTGGCCCAATTACATTGATTTTTAAGGAAATGACTTAACCATAGTATGACTAAAGCACCAAGAGTTAAGTAGAACAGCCACATTTCAAGAACAATTTTAACAAATCGTGCATAATCTGGCTGGGCATTTTAACCTATAGAGTAGAGCTAACACCCTCCCTTATTATTTCATAAGAAGAAATAATATACCTGAGAAGTCTGCAGCTTCTTGAAATTAAAAAAAAATTAGTGGCACTGAAAAAGGTTTTGAAGATGTGAAGGGGAAAGGGGCAAGTATTACTTTGGAACCGATGTGTATTCGATTGTTCCTTGCTGGAATGGAATTCAGGAACCTATGATGGTAGGAGGTCGGCTGTTAAGAATTAGACCTGGGTTTCTATTTTTATTCTGCTTGTTTTTGATTCAGTATGACTTTCAGCAAGTTACTTAACTTCTCTCTAAACCTTAAAGGCTGTTACAAGGATGAAATGAAACAATGTACAGAACACACTAAGTACAGAATCTGGTGTTAGGTAAGTACTCAATAAATAGTAGTCATTACTTTTACCATTCCTCCTCTAGATTGCTGTAGATCCCCAGAGTCCCATATAGTAGCCACTAGATGAGGCTATTTAAATTTAAATTAGTTAAAATTAAATGAAATAAGAAATTCAGTTCTTCATCCATACTTAGCCACATATCCAGTACCCAACAGCCACATGTAGCCAGTGGCTGTCATACTAGACAGTGCCAATATAGAACCTTTCTATCACTGCAGAAAGTTCTATTGGCTAGCATTGCTCTAGATCATAGGAATTACTTTTTTTGTTCACAGGTTCCACTGGTAAAAATTTTTAGCTTTTATTTGAAAAGTAAATATTTCAAAATAAACACATCCATTTATAAACAAATATATTAACATGTAAATAACATATATGTACTAGTATATATTAGCAAAACTTAATTTCTTCTTTTTTAGGTAAAAGTAAGTATCCAATGGTTCATTTTGTTACCTACTTTGAGAGTCACTGTTCTGGGTGACCTAGAACGCCTTGCAATATAGGATCTCATAGCAAATTTTTGTTTTGTTAGAGATGGGGTCTTGCTATGTTGCCTAGGCTACAGTGCAGCAGCTGCGGACCAGCACCATCATAGGACACTACAGCCTCGAACTCTTAGGCTCAAGCAATCCTCCCACCTCAGCCTCAAGTAGCTGGACTTACAGGTGTGCACCACTGCACCCAGCCCCACAGCAAACTTTTAATAATGTTCTTGGCTGGATGTGGTGGCTCACATCTGTAATCCCAGCACTTTGGGAGGCTGAGGTGGGCGGATCACGAGGTCAAGAGATTGAGACCATCCTGGCCAACAAGGTGAAACCCCATCTCTACTAAAAATACAAAAATTAGCTGGGCATGGTGGCGCATGCCTGTAGTCCCAGTTACTCAGGAGACTGAGGCAGGAGAATCACCTGAACCTGGGAGGCGGAGGTTGCAGTGAGCCAAGATCACGCATTGCATTCCAGCCTGGGTGACAGAGCAAGACTCTGTCTCAAAAAAAAAAAATTCTTAATCTAGCCTTTCAGATGATCGCTTCCATTCATTACCTTAAAGAATGAGGTAGTGAACAACAGGAAACAAATTTTAAAAATTAAAATTTTCCCTCCCCTTTGAAAGATGAAACAGGAACAAGACCTGTTTCCCATACAAAGTCAAGGACATATTGAAAACATAACTTTGGTTTAAAAACTGTTTCAACAGACAGAAATAGAGTAAGAAGGCAAACGAAAAGGAGACAACACTGCTCAAAACAATTCTAATAATTTCTAAGCTTCTGAGTAGCAATTTTAGAGCAATGGGATTATATTTAATTTGTTTCACATATGTGTGAAGACTGAGAGATATAAAGATAATTAAATCCCTAGATCCTGAAAACTTCCCTCTAAATAGTACCAAGGAGCACTGATTAAGAGCAAACATGTTTTTAAAGCACAGCTGACAGTAAACAAGTCAGAGAAATCTCCAGGGGCTATTGGTAAAAAGGAAGCTAAATACTAGAATGGTAAACTGAGTTGAGGCTTGGTCTGCCTTGTGGAGTATTTTCCGATCTTAGCACACAAGGGACCGACCCCTCGGTACTGTGCAAGGTAGAGACTGGGAGCTGACACCCGGCATAAGGTCAGGACACCCTCAAAGGCAAGGGGAGATGCAAGGAAGCTTCTCCCCTGATAATTTAGCCACAGGCCTGTCACATAGAGTCTTAGGTGTTAATTATACTACCTTCCTGGTCTGAGGAAACCCAGACTGAGAAATTAACACAAAAAGAAAAAAACCTAATCTGGTAAAAGCACATGCAAAACCTGCCTGAAGGGACTCGCTCTCAATGCTGGCTACCAAAATAAACTCAACATTCAAAAGTAGAAAACACATATGGAAATAAGTAACTATGAGTCTGCAGAAATAAAAGGCAGCAGAACTGAACCCAAAGAGTGTAAAACAGTGAAATTATTAGATATACACTACAAATTAGGTATGTTTAATATGACAACAGACAATAAAGTAGGATAGAAAGTATGACAAAATAAGAACAAAAAGTCCAAGCATGTTTAAAAAAGAAACGTGAGAACTTCTAAAATGGAAAAATAAAGTCACTGAAAATAGAAAAAGAAAAAACAGCTTATACAGATGAGACACAAGTAAGAGAGACCTAAAGAACTGAAAACTAAATCTGAAGAAAAATTTCTAGAATGAAACACCAGCAGAAGAAATAAAAAAGTATAAGAGATTAAGAGACATTATGACAGAATAAGATGTTCCAACAAAACCAAGACTACGTAATTGGCAATATTTGAGGAATTTATGAAAGATGTAAATCCTCAGATTCAGGAAACAGAAATGAATCCCAAAGAAAGAAACAAAAATAAATCCTCAGATACACATAGCACAGGGAATATACAGAACCAAGGACGAAAAACAACCAGAGAAAAAAGGCTAATTATTCACCAAGGTACAAGAGTGACAGAAAACACGACCCCCTCCACCTTCCCAAGAGCTAAAGTAGAACCCTGGAAACAGCAGAATATTTTCTACAAGTGTTGACTGAACATACCTCAGCTCTTAGAAATTCATAGCTGGCTAAGAACAACGACCAAATGAAGAAACGAACAAAACTGTAGACTACCACCACTGGCCAGGTGTAGTGGCGCACACCTGTAATCCCAGCACTTTGGGAGCTGAGGTGGGTGGATCACAAGGTCAGGAGTTTGACATCAGCTTGGTCAACATGGTGAAACCCCATCTCTACTAAAAATAGAAAAATCAGCCAGGTGTGGTGGTGCACACCTGTAATCCCAGCCAGTCAGGAGGTTGAGACATGAGAACTGCTTGAGCCCGGGAGGCAGAGGTTGTAGTGAGCTGAGATCGCGCCACCACACTCCAGCCTGGGCAACAGAGCAAGACTCTGTCTCGGAAAAAAATAAAAAAGACTACCAACAACAGACCCACATGAAAGGATACACTTCAGAAAGAAACTGAGCCCACACAAAAGGGGTGGTGGGCGATTTAACAGGTTCACATGCACATATAACTGAATTTTAAAAAACCAATAATGCTGCTTAGTAATATGGAGAGTAAAAACGATACAAAGTGAACAAAAATGAAGTATTATAACATTTAAGGGGTGCATGGTTTACATCCAGTTGGTCTAAGGTTCTTGTATTGTTCAAGAGGAAGGCAGGGATACTCATTAATCTTAGACTTTGTTGAGTCAAATATGTGTAGTAATAAACTGCTACAAGAATATAAATAGATAACATAATCTCCAAACCTTTTGTAGAAAAGGAAAAAATAAAACTAAAGAAAAGTCCTCAGTCTAAGGCAAGCACCCTACCTGGATACATGTAAAAGTACAAGAATGCTCACTGCATACTGTTTGTAATTATGCCAGTTTTGAGAGAGCCTAAATTTCTATCACGTGGAAAAGAGATGAATAAATTGCTATACTCATACAATTATATACCAACTAGCAGTGAAAATTTATGCACGTATCAGTCTGGAATGAATTTCACAAACATAATGTGAGGGAAACAAAAAAGCAGACTGCAGGAGGACACACAATATGATACTACATTAAGTTTAAAAACATAATATAGAGAGCACTTGTGGTCATGGCAGAATAAAGTGGTCAGGAGATTCCCCTCTGAGAAAACAAGTATATACATGGATGAAATTGTGGGGGGAAACAAAACAAAACAAAACAAAACATTTCAGGTTAACTGGAAACCATAGGCAGACAACAAATTGAGAAGCATTTAATCTTGAATATCTGCTAACATATCTGGTAAGAATGGTGGTGGTGAATATGTAACCTTCTAGCCTGGGCTGCATCTAACCCTCACTGCTCTCCCAGCTCAGTCAGAGAAAAATTATAGCTTTACTGCCATTGGTGGAAGACTTGATTCAAGGTGGGGCAGTGAGGCGAGTACAAAATCCTGCAACTTTGCTAGATGTGGTCTCAACTTAGGAGGGGCAGCCAATCAGGAACAAACAAACGAACAAATAAATAATTTGAGGCGGAGTCTCACTCTGTCACCTGGGCTGGAGTGCAGTGTTGTGATCTTGCTTATTGCAGCCTCTGCCTCCCAGGTTCAAGTGATTCTCCTGCCTCAGCCTCCTGAGTAGCTGGGATTACATGAGTGTGCCACCATGCCCGGCTAATTTTTGTATTTTTAGTAGAGATGGGGTTTCACCATGTTGGTCAGGCTGGTCTTGAACTCCTGACCTCAAGTGATCCGCCTGCCTTGGCCTCGTAAAGTGCTGGGATTACAGACATGAGCTACTCTGCCTGGCCAGGTACAAATTTAATAAGGAAATCCCAGAAGTAAAGAAGCCAAAGATAAGCTCTCTGCACATTATTAATGGACTGCTAAACTATGCATGTGTGGGGAAAACCTGAGAAAGTCCAGGAAAAAAATGAGGGAAAAAAGGGCTGGGTGCAGTGTTTCACATCTATAATCCCAGTGCTTTGGGAGGCTGAGGCAGGAAGATCGTTTGAGCCCAGGAGTTCAAGACCAGCCTGGGCAACACAGTGAGACCCTGCCTCTACAAGACATTTAAAAAATTAGCTGGGTGTGGTGGCACATACCTGGAACCATGGCTACCAGGGAGGCTGAGGTGGGAGGCTCACCTGAGCCCATGAGTTTGAGTTTATAATAAGCTACGATCATGCCCCTACACTCCTGCACTCCAGTGTGGGCAACAGAGAGAGACCCTGCCTCTATTTAAAAAAAAAATTAAAAAAAGGGAGGGAGACTTAAGAACTGCCTATTTTGGAACTGCCTATTTTGGAATGCAACCCCTAAGCCCACTTGATCAGTAGAGGATGGAAGCCATACAGGCTTGAAGTGTCTGAACAGATAAATGATTGACCTCTAAAATACACAGACATAGGGGAAACCACTAGAAGCTAAGACAAAAAATTAAAATTTTAAAAACTCAACAAGGACATCAGTGGCTACAAGAAAGCAAGAAAGAAATATTCCATAGTTTAAGTCCACATAAATTACTAAAACAATTTGGAGTTGCTATAATACATTATCTAAAAGGTCCAATTTTCAACCAAAAATTAGTATACAAAGAAACAGGAATGTGTGACTCATACTTGGGGGGAAAAAAAAACATTCAATAGGAATTAACCCTGAGTAGACTCAGATGTCAGGGACTTCCAAGCAGTTATAAATATGATCAAAGAATTAAAAAGAAAAACATGCTAACAAGTTAACAGGGAATCTTAACAGTCAGAAATGGAAATTAAAAAAATCAAATGGAAATTCTACATGTGAGTAACTCACAGGACAATGTTAAACCCTCCAACTTGTGTGTAACAGGAGTTTCAGAAGGAGAGGAAGGAGAGGAAAGAGAGACAAAGGGGAAGAAAAAAAATTTGAAAAAAATAATGCCTGAAAACTTCCCAAATTTGATGAAAATTATTAACTTGCAGATTTAAGAAACTCAACAATCCTCAGGTAGAATAAACACAAAGAGAACTACACCTAGACACAACACAGTTAAACAGCTGAAAGCCAATCAAGAGAAAATCCTGCAAGATATAACTCAAGACACTGTTTAGGATACAAACATATGTAGAAAAAGTATAAAGATATACAGACAATAAACACCAAATTCAGGACAGAAAATAAAGGAAGAATAATAAAACCAGAGTGTGATATACAGGAAGCTTGAATTATACTTATAAAGATTTAGTTAATAAGCTGGGCACTGGGCATAAGGGTATGCATTGTAACATTCTTTATCTTTCTAAATGTTTAAAGTACCTCAACACAAAAATAGTTATCAAAAAGGATTAAGGTCTCTGCTATGTGAAGGAAGAGGAGGTGGGGAAGGAAATACTTATTGTTTCATGAAAATATTTTTTATAATAAAGTACATTTTCATATTGCTTATCTGGATTCATTTAAAACAAGTTAAAAAAAAAATACAGGATTGTATACTCGAAAGAAAGTTGCCAAACATGAGTTATCTGTGTACCATTTTAAATTATTAGTCTGTAGAATGAAAATTTCATTGATTTTCACTTATAGATTTTACCTTACAGCTCCTGAACCATTCCATACTGCTGGACACTGGGAACAATATGGCCATTCTTTTGAATCTAATCTATTATCAATAGCATCCTAGGGAAGGAAAGAGTTAATTCCATCAATAAAATTGTAAATTGCAGGACTTTGTTTGGCATAAAGGTCAAAACTTGCATTTGCAATTGAGGAACCTTAGATATAAATATTTAGTATAAGATTAGCCTTTTCTTTGAAACTCGCAAATCTTATTTGCTTCAAAATTAGTGAAATCATTTACTGATTAAACCAATATTTGCTGCATGACTCCCTTTCTTCATTTGGAGGGTCCCCATGCTGTTATAAGGATTTCAGGCACCTTATCAGAGCTTTTAGTTCTATGGTGCCGGGGGTTTCTAATCATTATTCCAGTCCTGACACACTTCTAAAGCTTTGCCCTTCATAGCTACTACTGCTATGGCCTAGGGGTACTCAAGACAATCCAATGGGATATGTGAAGTTTTCCTTTTCATTTTATTCTTTAAAATTTTCCCTTTTATCAGTGTTAGATTTTATGATATATGTATATAAATATACTGTATACATAGATTGTATTTTTTTATTACAGTAATGCTTAACTTATAAATCAATAGGTTCATGCTCACTTTTTTTTATGGTTAGGAGTGCATGAACTGAAAAGTATGGAGACCACTGCTTTACAGCATGGTAGTACAAGTAGTATTAACAAGTGGGCACATGAACTGGGCACAAAGTAATCAGTAGTCCAAGAACATTTCAGTAAGACTGCAAGAAGGGAGGAAATCAAGTTTCAGGAGAAATTCTAAAGGCCTAAGAATGTCATGGATCCAAATGTGTATTTTCTGAATTTAACATGCAAATCCTTGTTAAGGGGTTCAAGAAAGTCATTTCTTATTTTACAAATACTAGCCATGGTAAACTGATCAGGAATATGTTAAAAAACAAAACAAAACAAACAAACAAACAAAAAGAAACTAGCCATAAGAAACTACTTAGCTCTACATCATCCTTGTGAGAAAGAAAAAAAAAAATCCTTATGTTACAGAAAACAAAGTCTAAATTCTTTAGATTTTTCATATATGTTTAAGCATGTGTGAATGACATAAAATTAGCCAAGCAAAACAGAGAAATCATAGTTATGCACTGTACCAAATTAGCTCCCAAAAGAAAGTATAAACTGGGTTTAAGTCAAAGGAAAAGGGGAATAAAAACTATATGATCGTGACCGAATAATCAGTGTCATAATTTTATTAAGCTCATAAAGTAATTTTAAAATTAGCTCATTTTGTAGTTTCCTATAATTGAATAATGTTCTCTAAGCATACACAGTGTTAAAGGCATGATTCATCTGACAGCAAACTATAATGAAGTTTACATTTTAATCCAAATACATTTCCAAGAATATTGGCATCTAACACTTTCTAATAGTGGTCCACATACAAATGTTATTTTGTTGAACTTTCATTCAAGTAAATTATATTTATGCCACATACAGTTATTTAAAACAAAGCAGTATTTTTCATAAAGCATATATGTGTTTATTTTTATTTATTTTGAAACAGTCAGTGGTATGAGTTTGTCTGAGGTATTTAGGAAAAGAATCTTCAGCTGGGCGCAGTGGCTCACACCTGTAATCCTAACACTTTGGGAGCCCAAGGTGGGCAGATCATGAGGTCAGGAGTACGAGATCAGCCTGGCCAACATAGTGAAACCCTGTCTCCACTAAAAATACAAAAATTAGTCAGGCGTGGTGGCGTGTACCTGTAGTCCCAGATACTCGCGACTACTCGAGGCTGAGGCAAGAGAATTGCTTGAACCTGGGAGGCGGAGGTTGCAGTGAGCCAAGACTATGCCACTGCACTCCAGGCTGAGTGACAGAGTGAGACTCTGTCTCAAAAAAAAAAAAAAAAGAATCTTCAAGTTTCCTCTCCTCCCTTGACCCCAGATACAGGCTTTCTTGTGAAGCCTCCAACCACTGCAGAAACTTCCTGCCCAATACATATACTCAGACTGACACAAACTACAAAAAGTAAAGAATACTCTAAAGAAGGCACTCAGGTAGAAAAAAAAATTTAATGATTTTTACCTCCATAATATCTTTGATAAAAGGTGTCCATCGAGAGAGCTGAAAAGTTTCTTCTGCAGACCGATCCTTTCTTAATGGTTTTCCTTGTTGAGACTAATAAAATTAGAGGAAAAAATTAAAAACCAGTAATTCTATTCAAATATAATACTCTTATGTTTCCTAACAAAGATATTTAATTTACCGGTAAATACTATAATGTATTTGACTTAAAACTAAGAGTGGAGAGGCCTACTTTAAAAAATCTGAGTGTGGTCACATAACTCCACTAAACAGTATTTTGTGCTTTAATGCTAAAATTTATTTATAATCATATCAGAACATATGTCTATTAAAATAAAAGTATTATAAAATTTGATGGCTGTAGTCCCAGCTACTTGGGAGGCTGAGGCAGGAGAATGGCATGAACCTGGGAGGCAGAACTTGCAGTGAGCCGAATCGAGCCACTGCACTCCAGCCTGGGCAACAGAGTGAGACTCATCTCAAAAAAAAAAAAAAAAGAAAAAAAAAAGTTGATGGGGCCGGATGCAGTGGTTCATGCCTGTAATCCCAGCACTTTGGGAGGCCGAGGTGGGCAGATCACGTGATACAGTTCGAGACCAACCTGGTCAACAAGGTGAAACCCTGTCTCTACTAAAAATACAAAAATTAGCTGGGTGCAGATGGCAGGTGCTTATAATCCCAGGTGGGAAGCTGAGGCAGGAGAATTGCTTGAACACGGGAGGCAGAGGTTGCAGTGAGCCGAGGTCACGCCACTGCACTTCAGCCTGTGTTACAGAGAGAGCCTCTCTCTTAAAAAAAAAAAAAAAAAAAAAAAAAAAAAAAAATTAATAGGAAAGAGTGAGATTCTAAATAGAGTCCTTCCAAATTTGACTTTGAACCCTTTTTTTTTTTTTTTTAAAAGAGACAGAGTCTCGCTTTGGGCTGGAGTACAGTGGTATGATTTTGGCTCACTGCAGCCTTGACCTCCTGGGCTTACGAGATCCTCAGCCTCCTGAGTAGCTGGGACTACAGGTACACACCAACACACCTGGCTATTTTTTTGTTTTTTGTAGAGGCGAGGTCTCACTATGATGCCCAGGCTGGTCTCGAACTCCTGAGCTCAAGCAATCCTGCCTCAGCATCTCCCAAAGTGTTCAGATTACAGCTGTGAGCCACCCTACCCAGTGAGCCTAAATTTTTTTAATCAAGAAAATACATACTTATTTTCTCTGCCATATTATAGTTAAACGTCACATGTTTAACTAAAATATGACAATTGCTATAAATGAATCATAAAGACAAAAGTATAAGTAGTGAATTATGACAGAAGGTATAAAATACAAATTCACTAGAAAACTGCATTTGCCCAAATTACATATGGAAAAGAGAACAAAATCTTTAATTGCTTATTTATTCAAAATCTATAGAGTGAACTTAAGAAGACTGTCCACATGAATACCCACATTAAAAAAAACACAGTTAATACAAACAACCATACATACATACATACATATATATCTAAAGTATACACACACGTAAGACTACTTACTTGGGGAACGATGGGAACACCAAGGTAACTCCAGTTACGAATCATGTCACTCTCATTTTCTATCTTCACATTCTGGATCAACCTGTCCAAATTTTCTTCTGTAGTTCCTTAAATAGGTAAAAATACGAGTGCACAATCACATAATGGCTACCAAAATAATTTCAAGGCTTTAGGTAGTACCCATGAATGAAGCTTTTAAAATAAACAGTCAAATTATATCTCCTTCAGTCTTCTCTCAATTTCATATTTTCCTTTATCTTAACCAAGTTCAGCAACTGTCTTTCAGTTTTCAAAGATTCTTTTATGATCAATAGTAAAACACTCATTAAAAAGTGATTATATCCATTACCATTAATACTGAAGATATAAAGTAGAATTGCTCTTATTTTATCACAATTATCATGGTTTTTGTTGAGTAGAACTGGAAGGAGTACTCGCATGGAATCCTTCACCTTCTGTCCTTCTGCATCAGTTCCAAGTGCCAGGTCCTTAATGAAAATAAAATACTATCAGTGATCTATAATCAAGATTCATTTTTTAGTTAAAAACATCTATTACTGGCCGGGCGCGGTGGCTCATGCCTGTAATCCCAGTACTTTGGGAGGCCAAGGCGGATCACCTGAGGTCAGGAGTTGGAGACCAGCCTGGCCAACATGGTGAAACCCTATCTGTACTAAAAATACAAAAATTTAGCCGGGCGTGGTGTCAGGTGCCTGTAATCCCAGCTACTCAAGAGGCTGAGGCAGGAGAATCGTTTGAACTCGGGAGGCGGAGGTTGTAGTGAGCCGAGATCGGGCCATTGCACTCTAGCCTGGGCAACAAGAGCGAAACTCTGTCTCAAAAAAACAAAAAACAACAAATAAACAAAATCTATTATTAAATCTTGTCAAATTTTAATGGAACACTGATGACATTACACAAGAAAATATGAACATCACTTATAAACTATTGTTTGTACAAAATACAAATCAAAAAATAAATCAGAGAACACAAAAATCATTAATCTAAACCTATGCTATCCAGTACAGTGGCCACTAGCCACATATGACTACTGAGCACTTGAAATGGGATCAGTCTAATTAAGATGTGCTGTAGGTACAAACCACTGGAAGACTTGAAGTAATATAATGCAAAATTATCTAATTAATAACTTTTTATACTGATTATATGTTGAAATAATATTTTGAATACATCAGGTTGTCAAAGCCTTTTTTTTTTTTTTTTTTTTTTTTTTAAGAGACAGGGTCTTGCCCAGGCTGCCCTCAAACTCCTGGGGTCAAGCAATCCTCCCACCTCAGCCTCCTGAAGAGCTGGGATTATAAGCACACACCACTGCACCCAACTTATTAGTAAAATTAATTGCATTTTTAAATTTTTACCTTTGTTAATATGGCTATTAGAATATTAAAAATTACATGCAGCCTGTATTCTATTAGGGGCAATGGTCTAAACAGTTGAGGCATGATATAAAAGGCCCCTTGTAAAATGAGCTCTGCAGGCTGCTACACTAAATGCTGTACTGAGAAAGTCCTGCCAACAATGCTACCCTGAAATCATGCTCCCAAAATTTAAATCATTCCATTAAATAAAAAATACATAATAGGAGGGACTGTTTACTAAGATACTCTACAGTTACTTGTTAATATTAGTGGGGAATGATATATTAAATACTGCCTAGGTGGTCCCCCTGATAAGAGAGAGTCTGTGATTCTGTAAAAACCAACCACTGTATCAAGCAAAAAGTTAGGTTTTAACTTACAAAGTTTATCCTGGAAATTTATTATGAACAGAGGCATTTCTGACTCTGCACATACCTGTTCAGTTTTGCAGAGTTTTTCTATATTAAGCTTGAACTTATTCATGCAATCTTCTGCTAAGTTAAGATGGACAACTTGCTGAAAAACAGAAGAAATCAATCATTTAAAGGATTTTAATGACTTTTGTGCAACTGGTAATATTAAACTTTTGAGACAGGCCTGAAAGTATGGGCTGAGGTGAAACAAGGTAACATGTAAGCAAGGGAACAGCTCAAGATAGGAGGCAAATGAGAATATGATCTACAGGTGATATGGTTTGGCTGTTTCCCCACCCAAATCTCATCTTGAATCGTAGTTCCCATAATACCCATGTGTCATGGGAGGGACCTGATGGGAAGTGTTTGGATCATGGGATGATGGGAGTGATTTCCTCCATGCTGTTCTCATAATAGTGAGTGAGTTCTCATGAGATCTGATGGTTTTATAAGCATCTAGCATGTGCCCTGCATGTACTTCTCCCTCCTGTGGCTTTGTGAAGAAGGTGCCTGGCTTCCCCTTTGCTTTCTGCCATGATTGTAAGTTTCCTGAGGCCTTCTCAGCCATGTGGAACTGTGAGTCAGTTAGACCTCTTTCCTTTATAAATTACCCAGTCTTGGATATTTCCTTAATAAATTACCCAGTCTTGGATATTTCCTCAGCAATGTCAGAATAGACTAATACAACAGGGGCAATCAACAGACAGCATAAATGGGACACAGTGGAAGTGTTGGAATTGTTGAATTTGTGTTGAGTTTGAGAGAAAGTGAGAAAATTAAAAGTTCTTCAAGTTCATATTCTTTATCTTTCTAAATGTTTCAAGTATTTTTTTTTCTTTTCTTTTTTTTTTTTGAGACAGAGTCTTGCTCTGTCACCCAGGCTAGAGTGCAGTGGCCAGATCTCAGCTCACTGCAAGCTCCACCTCCCGGGTTCACGCCATTCTCCTGCCTCAGCCTCCCGAGCAGCTGGGACTACAGGTGCCCGCCACCTCGCCCGGCTAGTTTTTTTGTATTTTTTAGTAGAGACGGGGTTTCACCGGGTTAGCCAGGATGGTCTCGATCTCCTGACCTCGTGATCCGCCCGCCTCGGCCTCCCAAAGTGCTGGGATTACAGGCTTGAGCCACCACGCCCGGCCTGTTTCAAGTACTTTAACACACACAAAAATCATTGGCTGACTAGGGTGCAACATGACAAAAACGTTAAGATTATTCTGATAGTATTTGTAAGGAGCAAAAAAATAGTTTACCTGACTAAACAGCTTAAATGCTCTTAAATTTACTAATATGTAACTATTACTTTAAAGAAATATGTAGAATAACATCCATTAGTCGATCTAGTGCTGAATTTCTTATAAGGTTGATAAATATTACTCTGTTAGGCTATTCAAGACAAAGATATAGACAAGTTTAAGCTGGATTCAGATAAATCTAGGTTATATATGTAGAGAAGTTATGAAGAAGCTTAGATATATGGGATATTTCTCAGACCTATATAGTAAGGTTTTAGAGTACGACTAATACCAAGTATTCCATGAAACCCACTGCTAAACTGAACTACAGAACTGAATATAAACTAAATATAAATGGAATATAAACTAAAACTAATTAGGTATCTCATATATAATACTGCTTACCTTAGTAATCTGTTTTCGGAAATGGGGCATCTTTTTCATCAGCTGGGTAAGAGCACTAAGTGATGTCTAGGAAAAAGCAAACATTTTTTAAGGCAAACCTACGATTCAGTTATTCCATATTACAACTTTGAAATCCTAGAGTTTTACAAATTATCAAATCTAGTTAATTTACTGATTATTTGACAATTTTTTTAAAGAAGAATTTAGGAGGCTTCCAGTTTCACTCACAATAACACAGCTGATATCAACATTACTTTCCCTCCATAAATAAATAAGATTGGACAAATAAATAAAACAAAAGCTTTCGAGTAATAGATAAAAATAGTTCACAGCTGAGACAGCTGAGTGAAGGAAAGCACCAAAGGTGATCCCTACACTCACCCTGCCTTTCCCCTAAAGATGTTTTCCAAATACCACTGAAAGGAAATACAGTTCAAATAGAGAGCAATTATCTCTCTGGGTGCAAAAAAAAAAAAAAAAAGGTGGGCGGGGGAGATAAGAGCTTGGGGCTGTGAGGTAGATTCTGGGAAGCATGGTGCTAAAGAGAAAGGAGCTAGACAGAATATAACACAAAAATGTGTAGAGAGATTGTCCTTGAACCCCTAAGCTGCACATGTACAGGGCATAACCCTCAAAGATATAGTAAAGAACAACTTATGGGTGGCTAAATGTTGGACAGAAATTTCAGAGGGGTCCTAGTGCTAAGAATATACTAGCATCCCCTGATCAAGACAAAGTAAAGAGACCTAAGTGAACATCCTAGGCATTCAGTCCTGGGACTATGCCTTAGGACTCAGTGCAAAAACGAAATAAACTTACCATAACATTGTCTAACATGAAGTTACAACAGAATCACGATTATTCCTCAGCAACTTAACTGCCTGCCAGAACAAAACTCAACATTCTCCGTAGAGAGAGCATCATCTAGAACCTCTGCAATGTATCATCCACTATGTCTAGCACAATAAAACATTAATAGGTGAAACAGGAAAGTGACTGATACTCAAGTGATAAAACAGTCAATAAAAGTAGACCCAAGATAAAGAATAAGTTCTGGTATTTGATATCACAATGGTGACTATAGTTAACAATATATTATGTATTTCAAAATAGCTAGAGGAAAAGACTGGAAATGTCCCCATCACAAAGAAATAATAAATGTTCAAGGTGATGGGTATTCTAAACACACTGATTTGATCATTACACACTGTATGCATGTATCAACATATTACATGCCTCATAAATATGTAGTTATTATGAACCAATGTAAAAGCTAAGAAAAGAACACCTCAAAATGTAAAAACAAAGAAACTCACAAAAAGTAGACCTAAGATGGAGTTGGCAGAAAGAGACTTCAAAATAACATATTTATGTTAAAGTGGAAACAGAGGAAAAGATGGACTACATGGATCAAAACATGGAGTATTTTAACAGAGAATTAGAATTTATTTTCTAAAAATCCAATTAATGTCCTAGAGTTAAATATAAGACTTTAAGTTAAAAGTACAATGAACAACTTTCATACATTGCTAGTGGGACTGGAAAATAGTACAGCCACCTTGGAAAAATAGTTTGAAATTTTCTTACAAACTTAAACATACATTTATTATTGATTCTGCAATCCCACTCTTAAGTATCCTCCCAAGCACATAACATCTGTTCATAGACATGAATGTCTGATATGAAGAAGGTGAATGTTTATAGTAGCTTGATTCATAATTGCCAACAACTTGGAAAAACTAAGATGTTCTGAAACTGGTAAATTGATAAGCAAATTGTGGTGCACCCATATGATGGAATACTACTCAGCAATAAAAACTAATGAAACCACTCTTGCATGCAACATGAGTGAATCTCAAATGCATTATGCTAAATGAAAAGAGCCATAGTGTATTATTCCATTCATTGGACAATCTGGAAAAGGCAAAACTACAGGGTCAGAAAATAGCTTAGTAGTTGTCAGGGGATGGGGACTGAGTTAAGGGGTTATCTGCAAAGGGGCATGAGGACATTTTGGGGGGTGATGACATTATTCTGTATCTTGATTGTGGTAGTGGTCATATGAGAGTATGCATTTGTCAAAACTCAGAACTGTATTCTATAAAGGGAAAATTTTACTTTATACCTCAGTTTTCAAAAGGATACAATGAACGGGTTTAACAGCAGACTGAATACAAAAGACGACACAAGTAGGGGAATCAAAGTCAGGTTAATAGAGAACATTCGATTGCAATGCGGAGAGGTTAAAAAAAAAAAAAAGATAACAGAATGTAAGAGATATAGAATACAGTCAAGAGATCCAAAGAACATGTTGACTGGGGTCCCAGAAAGAGAGGAGAGAGAGAATGAGACAAAATGAAGATCTGAGGAGATAATGACCAAGAATTTTACAAACTTAATGAAAGTTATCAACCCAGTGACTCAAGAAGCTCAGCAAACCCCATGGACAAATAGCAAGCAAACTACATTATAGTAAGGCATATCATGGTCAAATTGCTAAAAATCAAAGACACAGAAAAAATATTAATAAACACAGTATATCTTCAGGAAAACAAAAATACTTAACAGCTGCCTTTTTCAGCAGAAATTATAGTAGCCAGAAGGTGATGTATTGAAAGCTTAAAATTGCTGAAAGGAAAAAAAATACCAACTATGAATTCTAAATCCAGCAACGTATCTCAGAAAAAAACTGCAAAACAAAGATGTCCTCAGACAAAAAGAAAGCTAGGAGAATTCAATGTAACCCAGCTGGAAAAACTGAAGAGCAGTAAGAAATAAACAGCACCAGTGTGTATAAATATGTGGGTAATAATAAAAGTCTACTGTTTATAACAAAGTAACATCTTATTTTTATTTTTTTTTCTAAACAAAATATATAACGTATGTTGTATGTATTTATAACATATGTTGAAGTAAAATACATGAAACAACAGCATAAAAGAGAAAGGGGATAAATAAAGTTAAACTACTATAAGATTCCTGAATTATTCAGGACATGACAAAATTATACTATTAAACAAGGGTAAGAATACATTTTTAAATTTCCAGTATAATAATTAAAGGAAGGACTAAAAGGCAAAACACAAATGTTTATATTGGAGATGAAATGGAATTTATTTAAAAAAAAAAAAGACTTGATAAAGAAGGAAAATAGAATATAAAAAATGAAGAGAAAACAAATAAGATACTAGATATAAATTTGACCATATCAATAATTACATGAAATATATATGAACTAAACAAGCATTCTAATTAAAAGATTTTTGGGCTAAATAAAAAAACAAAATTCAACTACATGCTCTTCCTGAAGAAAACAGAAGAATACATTAAAGACCTCAGGGTAAGCCAAGACTTCTAAGGGCACAGAGAAAGTATAAAATAAATAAATTGATAAACTAGATTTCATTAAAATTGAAATCTTCTGTTCATCAAAAGATATATACATACATAAATACATGTATGGGACTCATATCCAGAAAATAACTTCTACAAATCAGTAAGAAAAACAGACAACTCAATTAAAAAAGGGCAAAAGACCTTAAATGGGCACTTCACAAAATAGAATATCCAAATGGCAAATATGCACAAGAACATTACAGAAGTTGAAATTAAAACCACAATAAGATACCACCTCATGCAATGAAATTTTAATTGAAAATAAAGACAAGAATATATCAAGTGTTGGTGACAATATGGAGCAACTAGAACACTCAATTATTGCTGATGGGGATGTAAATCAGTTCAAACAGTTTGCAAAACTTTTGGCATCACCTATTAAAGCTAAACACAATCCTACCCTATAACCCAACAATTTTACTCTTAATATACCCAAGAGAAAGAGTGTGTACGTCCACCAAATGACATGTACAAAAAAATCCACAGCAGCTTTGTTCATAATAACCCCAAACTGGAAATAAACCAAATGTCCATCAAAAGGAGATGAACAAATTGTTGTATATTTACATAACAGTATTACTACTATACACGAATAAAAAAATGAGTTACTGAAATATGTAACACAGGTGAATCTCATTATGTGAAGTTCAAGAACAGGATCTATGGTGATGAAAATTAGAATAGAATTTACCTCTGGCAGGATGGGTACTGACTGGGAAAGGACAAGAGAGAATATTCTAGAATGATGAAAATATTCTGTATCTTGATTTGGGTGGTGGTTTCAAGTGTATATATAAGTAAAAGTTATCCACTGTAAATTTAAAATTTCTGTGCTTTACTTATAAATTATATCTCAATATAAAATCCCAACAATGCACTGATAAAATTGACTAAATGGCCTGAATATAAACTTTACGACCAGGCACGGTGGCTCACACCTGTAATCCCAGCACCAAAGTGGGCAGATCACTTGAGGCCAGGAGTTCAAGACCAGCCTGGCCAACATGGTGAAACCTTGTCACTACTAAAAATACAAAAATTAGACAGGTATGGTGGTGCACACCTGTAATCCCAGTTACTTGACTGGCTGAGGCAAAAGAATCACTTGAGCCTGGGAGGTGGAGACTGCAGTGAGCTGAGATGGTGCAACTGCACTCCAGCCTATGTGGCAGAGTGAGACTCTGTCTCAAAAAGAAAATAAAAACATTTTAATGAAGCAGGACAGACAAAATGTTGTTAACTACTGAAACTAGACAATGGGTATGTAGGGAAGGAGTTCATTCTCTACCTCTGTGTTAGAATTTTCCAAAAATAAAAAGTTAAAGAAATAAAATAAAGATTTTAAACAAAGTTTAAAATTCACCTTCACTATTATTTGGAAAGTTAAGTAAGACTTACCTTTCCTTCTGTTGCTTTCTTTGTTGATGAAATTTCCTTCATAAGCTTGGGAATTTCCCTGTCGAATTGTGAGAGAATTCTTTAAATTTCTAAGATGTAATTCTTTACGGAACTATTTTAAGGTTACAAAATATACTATCACATACTGTCTAAAAAACATGGAATAAAAATTAAAATGGGTTCACATACTCTAACACAACTGCGATATGTCGATGTCGAATTCTAACCCAGAGGTCATCTTCTTCTTCAAGGACGGCCTCCTTTTCTTTTCCATCTGTTTTGTATCTACAAGTAGAGAGAAGCACTAAAATTTTTTGATTTTTTTTTCCTCCAAAATCAAAAGAAACATTTTTACAAACAATAATTTCAAGACACAACTAAGAAACTGAAAAGTAAAATCCACTATCTTAGGGGGGTAATGAACACCTACCCAAAACTAAGGCACATTGCTATCCTTACATTAAAAATAAGCACTGAGCCTACCAAGACATTTTCAAATGTTAGGTTTAGGTGTCATTATTATAGAGTTTTAGTTCAGCAAAATTATACCTTATAAAGAAAAATTCAACGTGCTACATACAATTAACTTTAAGAACAAGACTGAATATACTAACGCTTCGTGTTTTAATTGCCTAAAACACTGTTTTGATGTGCTAATAACCCACAGTACAATTATCAAATCTCCATTAGGAACAGGAATATTGGCCAGGTGTGGTGGCTCACGCCTGTAATTCTAGCACTTTCAGAGGCTGTGGGGGGCAGACCACTTGAGGTCAGGAGTTCAAAACCAGCTTGCCAACAGGGTGAAACCCCGTATCTAAAAAAAAAAATACAAAAACTTAGCAGGGCGTGGTGGCACGTGCCTGTAATCCCAGTTATTCTGGAGGCTGAGGCAGGAGAATCACTTGAACCTGGGAGGTGGAGTTTGCAGTGAGCAGAGATCGCACCACTGCACTCCAGCCTGGGTGACAGTGCAAGACTCTGTCTCAAACAAAACAAAACAAACAAAACAGGAATATCCTCCCCAATATAACCTATTAAATATTGAAGGTGTTCCAGAATTGGTACAAAATTCACAAACATTTATCATCTGTTTCTTTATTCTTCCCCAACCCTATAACCACATGTCCTTTACGGCATGAGAAAGAAAATGAGAGAAAAAAAATTAATGTAAGCCATAAAAATTGTGATAGCTTTAATGAGTTCTACTGAAGTGAGCAACAATTTAAAGGATTCATGAACCTATTCAAAATGGGCTTCCTGACTGCTTCCCCTTATCTTTTTATGCAGATACCTTCCTTCCATTTGTGGAACTAGAGAAGATCGAATCATTCTCGGAACTACCTGATTTCCTGAGTCAAGATCAGGAAGGACTGCACTGAGTTTTCCTAGCTCTGAACTACAAATACTAAATGTAGACTTCGCTATATGAATATAATCGTTTCTATAGCCCCCATAAATTACACATCAATTCTATAAAACCATCCACCTGTGTGGATTACAGATGTCCAAAGATAGAATCACTGTGCTCAATTATATAAGGCTGCACTAAGGATGAAAGCCCTTTTGTCATTTAAAATGCCACTTTGTTCTTATACAATACCTTTGACTTAAAAGTGATTTGTGAACAAAGATAAGAGTAGCAAGCCTGACAATACTCATGTGATATGAATATCCCATTTTAAAAGTAAATTTAGTTGGGAAGCTGAGGCAGGTGGATCATTTGAAGCCAGGAGTTCGAGACCAGTCTGGCCAACATGGCAAAATTCCATTTCTACTAAAAATACAAAAATTAGCCGGGCGCAGTGGTGCACACTTGTAGTCCCAGCTACTTGGGAGGCTAAGGCCGGGAATCATTTGAACTCAGAAGACGAAGGCTGCAATGAGGTGAGATTGTGCCACTGCACTCCAGCCTGGGCGACAGAGTGAGACTCTGTCTCAAAAAAAAAAAAAAAAAACCAAAAACCTAAATTTAAAGAAGTCACCAACATGAAAACTTGAATCTGGACACTTAGAGCTTCCTGCTTTGTATTCTATTTCCATAAAAAATTGTGATGAAGGCTGGGTGTGGTTGCTCACCCCTGTAATCCCGGCACTTTGGGAGGCCGAGGCAGGCAGATCATCTGAGGTCAGGAGTCCAAGACTAGCCTGGCCAACATGGCAAAACCCTGCCTCTACTAAAAATACAAAAATTAGCCAGGTGTGGTGACGGGTGCCTGTAATCCCAGCTACCTGGGAGGCTGAGGCAGGAGAATCACTTGACCTGGGAGGCAGAGGCTGCAGTGAGCCAAGATCATGCCACTGTACTCCAGCCTAGGTGACAGAGTGAGACTCTGTCTCAAAAAAAAAAAAAAAAAAAAAAAAAAAAAATTGTGATAGAGCCCAAACCACAGGGAGCTTTACTCCCATCGAATTCTTATCTCTGAATTTTTTTCAATCAGAAAGAAGGGAGTATAGTGGCTTTTAAAAAAAGTCTCTACTTAAAAAAAATTAAACCTTGCTTTGCTTGCCAGCAAACCTAAAGAGATACATATTTTAAATATTAGGTTAGAAATGTCTAAAATTTGTATCTACAGTCTGGAACTAAATCCTTTACTATCCATTGGTTTATTAATTCTCTTCTAAACCTTTTGAGCAATGCAAGTTTAGAGACCTAAAGGGTAACAGAGGTAAATAATATCCCCTCTGAATAAACTGCTTAAAATAACTTTTATATTAGAAAAAGAGCTATGTTATCTAACATTAATACAGATAATATAGAGAAAAACTCAGAAACTAAGATCTGACCAGAATGCAAATAAAAATACAATAGAAAATACAATACAATAATAATATTTAAGAAAAAAACAGTATCATAACTATCACAAGTGTCTGTATCTTAAAACTACCAAATTAGTTTAAACATAAAATTTCAGAAAACTAATTTTCATTTTTATTAGTGTACTCAAGTAGTAAATCTTAGCTGACAAATACCAGTTTGGATTTAGAAATCATGATATCAAATAACATTTGTAATGTATGTAAAACATAACACACACCATAAATGATACAGAGATACAGTAAGATGATTCCTTGATAGAAAAACTATTTCATTTTTCATTTAGGTTTTTATTTGACATTACTTTTAAAGTAAATATGTTTATACCAAGATTAACTCAGTAGAAGGTACCAAAATGGTAAAACTATGCCTGTTGTTCTCAATAGCCATCCTATTTAGTTTTCTAGTGTTCCAATCTTCTAAAATACATTATATTGATAAGACACACAGATTTTGGAATGTATGATTCAGAACATTATAGCCTAACAATTTTGAATATGGTTTCTCCTTCAATAAATTATGATAGTGAGCCTGATATTTACTTTTAAAAGTAAAAGGGCCAAATTCCATGTGTTTAAATGTAGCTCTGCTGTACACATAGTTAAGGAAGCAAACATACCAAAAATGCTCCAAAGTAATCAAATTACGCTTTAATTTACAAGGTCAACATATCTGTGAAAGACTATAACTGTAGGAATAAGAGAAGGATAAAGTCTCTGAATAGAAAAGGTTACAGGGGCTTTCAGATTTCCGGTGCCTATATAAATCATTAAATGCTCATATTCTATCCTGTTTGTATATGCTCTTTATATGCCCTTCAAGTTATACTTGCTTGTATGTATCATTCTCAATTGGTAGTAGATCATATGCCATTGCCTGAAAGGTCAGTTCATGCAGGACAGTGGACACAGGATCAAAGCCACGATCAATTATTAAGAGCTGTGAATGAGTTTTACCCTAGAATAACAAGATAAAATCATCTTAAGCAGCTTCAATTTCTTAGTGTGAACATATTTTTAATATCTTCGAATACAAAGCAGGCTTTTCTTAAGTTCTATCCCTTTTCCCCACCAAAAACATACAACAAAACAAAAAAAATGGTTAATTGTCTTAAGAATGTGAAGTTATAATAACACAAAGAAAAATCCAAGTAGCATGAGAGAAAAAATGAAGACTCATAACTAAAAGCTTTTGTAATTAGAGTAAGAGGGTACATTTAATAACATGGGTTTGAACTGCGTGGGTACACTTAACACTCAGTTTTTTCAACTAAATAACAGATAGAAAATACAGTATTCGCAGGATGTGAAACCTGCATGTATGAAGGGCTGACTTTCCAGATATGTAGGTTTTGCTGGGCTGATGCAGGACTTGAGTATGTGTGGATTTTGGTATACACAGGAGGTCCTGGAACCAACCCTCCTGTGTTTCCCAAGGGACAACTGTATAATAACCTGAAAGTTCCTTTTAAAAAAGTAACATTTTGTTTGCACTAAATCTATTTTCTTATGAATTGAGTTCCAAAAGCACTAAAACTGATATAAATTATGAATGTTAGCTACTACTTGAGCTGTATGTATTAGACATTTTACTAAGCAAAAATACATGGATTATTTCATCTAATTCTTTTAATAATCCTGTGAGACAGGCATTATCATCTCCAGTTGACCATGAGGGCACTGCAGCCTGAAATGAAGTAACTTGCCCAAATCACACAGGTAGTAAGAGGCAGAATGGAGATTCAAATGCAGGTTTGCTCCAACATCTGTGCTCTTAACTGTTATGCTATTTTAAAAGACTGTACTGATACCAACTGAGATGATAAATCACAATGAAAGCCTTGTTATCATTAATTCGCAAACATCACTAATCACTAAACTGAATAATAGTGCTGGAAACATATTGTTAATGTCAGTATCTTTCATACTTCATTTTAAAAAGTAATAAATTCTTTGGATTATTATTCAAAGCAGTAACAAATAACTACAACTCATTATACAAACATTTTATATTTATTTACATATAACAGGTATATTTTATAGGCTATGTTTTTAAAATATTTTAAAATTAAGCACATTCATTTAATTAAATTTTGAGACAGTATGATATCGTGGTTCAGAGCACAGCCTTGGAAATCAGCCAGGTCTGAATTTGAGTCTAGCCTTGACCACAATCTTGCAGTACAAGTTTGGACAAAATGCTTATCTTGTTTATATGGCAGTATTCTCTTTGCAAAATGAAACACAATTATGGAATCTTTGCCTTATAAGATTATTGTAAAGGTTAAATATAATCCTACCATGAAACACAGCACGGCAAGCCCTCAAAAATGTGAGCTATGAAGCTTCAGAAATATAAATAGGAAAAAGTGCAATATAAGTTCTATAGCAGGCTTAGGGCTTATGACAGCATGTGGGAGGAAGCATCACTTGGCCTGAAGAGTCAGGAAAGCCTTCAAAAATGAGGTGACACTTTATCACTTTATCAGGTGTCCCTGAATAAAGGAAAGGTATCAAGTATTTGAAGGATGATTAATTTTCCAGGCAGAAAGAATGGAAAAGGCAAGTTTAATTTTTATGGATTTTGCTCTTTTTCCACTGAAAACTGAAGGACTAAAAGCATATTTGATTGTATATCTCTTCATTCAACAAACATTTATTCACTATCGACTATGTGTACTAAGCCATTCTGCCTTCAAAACTACAACCAGAATAACAGCCTTCACTAGGCCTCTAAACCAAAAACAGGTAACTTTTAAGGTAACTAACCTAACATCTAAGTTTATATCTTCCATTCCAGCCACATCGTTTCATTGTGGATTTTGCCTTTTTCTCTATTGCCTCTACCTGAAGAATCCTGTTTTCTATGCAATAAACTCCCTCTTTATCATGTTATGCTCATTCTTCAAGCTAAAGGGCCTTTCCTTTTGGGATGCCTTCCAACACTCCAGTTTAGAAGAAGATAAGCCTGTGACTATATTCCCATTATACTCTGTGTATTCTTCTCTCATTCCACTTATTACACAGTATTCTAATTGGTGGTTTCCTGTCACAACTCCTCTTCTAAACTAGCAACAGTTCCTTTTCTTCATTCTCCAGCTACTATAATATGGCTTCCTAGCCCTCTGGCACCACCTCTGTCATTCTTCTCAAGCTCTTCATTCTCTCACCCACATGTAAATGCTGGTATTTCCCAGATTTCAACCTTAGTCTTTGATTATATTATCTCCATAGGATAACAATAGCTGCCATTTAGTAAATTCCCATTGGTGCCAAATACATTTACATGCTAACTTAATCCTCATACCGCCCAGCAAGGTATATATTACTTCATCTATTTCATAGATGGAAAAACAAACTCAAGGTCACAGAGCTAGTGATAATAGGAATTCCCACATTTATTAAATGTTTACTCAATGGCAAGCATTACTCTAAGGACTTTGCATGTATTAACTCACTTAATCATAACTTTTAAAATAGGTATTCTTTTATTACTCCCATTTTATAGAAAAGAAAATGTAGTTACATAGAAGTTACATAATTTGCCCAAATAGACATTAACTATGAATTAAATGGCAGAACTAGATTTGGACACAGTGCTGACTTCAAAATCTGTTAGTTAATAGAGTCCCCTCTTAAACCATACCATCTATTAAGGTTTGCACAACTGTGTATGTTAACGATTCTCAAATCAGTATTGGAGATCTATGTTAATGACTCTCAAATCAATACTAGAAAATGAATGAGCAAGTTTCTTTGGCTTATAAAGAAATAAGACAGACTTTATGCATAGCCACTATTTGCCTCGCATACATTACCTTTATTAGGCTCTTTTCATCAATCTTGTAGTAGTCTTCAAGCTTTTTTTCAACAAGCTGTGCAAGCTTACTGGCATTATCTAGAGGTTTACTAGACATGGAAAAAAGGATCCAACAATTATCTTTCTTTCAGTATATACTTTATAATATCATGAAGTTTAATTCTAAAATTAAACCATGGAATTTAAAAAATGTTTACAAAATGAAAAATTATTTTATAAACATGTAAAAGTTCAGATAATATATCAAATAATGTTATATCGATATATTTGGAATTTACAAGGACAAATCTTATATCTGCTTCAGATTTTTTAATATAAAGGAAATAAAATATTACATGTAAAGCTGTAGTTCCTTTTATTCCGCTCCTAAGTCCTGGTCCTCTCCCATACCCCTGCCTCAAACCAAGACAACCAGTGTCATTAATTTCATGTATATTCTCCCTCCAGTCATTTCTGTTTCATGTGTGGGTATGTGTATGTGTGTGTGTTTGAGATGTATCTACATTGACACACATATCGGATTTATTCATTTAATCTCCTATATAGTATTCCATCATGATTATACTGGATTCTATGTATTGATTCCTCTAAAGATGGACATATGAGTCATTCTTATTATACTATTACAAACACTGAAACAAACGTTGGTATATATGTATCTAGGTATATTACATGTACATGTTTCTCTAGGCATATTACATGTAAAAATATAATTTCTGGGTCATACAGCATATACATACTTTTTTCAATATTATCAATTACTCCATAAATTAGTTGATCAATATCCCTCCCACTAGCAGTGTGAGATTTGCCCACGTGCTAACATCATCAACTTTCCAATGTCTTTTGCATAAAATCTTGTATATCATTATCTTCTAAAATAACACTGTACCCTAAATTGTAACTTCATGACCAGTGGTATTAGTGTAACTTTCAAATCTACAAGAAAAATGCTGAAGAACAGCTCTGTAAAAGAAATTGAAGAGGAAATAAAAAAAGGAAAGATGTTCCACGTTCATGGATTGGAAGCACAAATATTGTTAAAATGTCCATACTACCCAAAGCTATCTACAGATTCAGTGCAATCCCTATCAAAATACCAATGACATTCTTCACAGAAATAAAAAAAAAATTAAAATGTAGATGGAACCCCAAAAGACCCAGAATAGCCAAAGCTATCCTAAGCAAAAAGAACAAAACTGCAGAAATCACATTACCTGGCTTCAAATATACTACAGGGGTGTAGTAACCAAAACAGCATGGTACTGGCATAAAGACAGACATAGAGACTAATGGAACAGAATATAGAACCCAGAAACAAATAATACATCTACCATTAACTCAATTTCAACAAAGGTGCCAAGAACCTACATTGGGGAAAGGATAGTCTCTTCAATCAATGGTGCTGGGAAAAATGGATATCCATATGCAGAAGAATGAAACTAGACCCCTATCTCTTGCCATATACAAAAATCAAATAAAAATGGATTAAAGAGTTAAATCTAATACCTCAAACTGTGAAACTACCACAAGAAAACATTGGGGAAACTCTCCAGGACACTGAACTGGGCAGATTTCTCTGTGGGACATTCTTGAGTAACACCCCATAAGCACAGGCAACCAAGCAAAAATGGACAAATGGAATCACATCAAGTTAAAAAGCTTCTGCACAATAAACAATCAACAAAGTGAAGAGACAACCCACAGAATGGAAGAGAATATTTGCAAACTACCTATCTGACAAAAAATTAATAAGAATAGATATGGAGCACAAATAACTCCATAGGAAAAAATAATCTGATTTAAAAATGGGCGAAAGATCTGGATATTTCTCAAAAGAAGACATACAAATGGCAAACAGGTATATGAAAAGGTGCTCATACACATAATTAATTATCAGAGAAATGCAAATCAAAACTATAATGAGATATCATTTCACCCCAGTTATAATGGCTTTTATTCAAGAGCAGGCAATATAACACACGCTGGCGAGAATATGGAGAAAAGGGAACCCTCATACACTGTTGGTGGGAATGTAAATTAGTATAATTACTAAGGAGAACAATGTGGAGGTTCCTCAAAAAACTAAACAGAGAACTACCATGTGATCCAGCAATCTCATTGCTAAATATATATGACCAAAAGAAAGGAAATCTGTGTATCAATCTGTGCTCCATGTTACTGTAGCACTATTCACAACAGCTAAGATTTGGAAGCAACATATGAATGGATAAAGAAAATGTGGCACATTGACAGAATGGAGTACAATTCAGCCATAAAAAATAACGGATCCTGACATTTACAACAACATAGATGGAAGTGGCGGTCACCATGTTAAGCGAAATAAGCCAGGCACAGAAAGAACACTTCTCATGTTCTCACTTGCTTCTGGGAGCTAAAAATGAAAACAATTGAACTCATGGAGAAAGTAGAAAGACGGTTACCAGAGGCTGGAAAGGGGCAGGAGTGGTGGTCAAGGGTTTAGTGAGGATGGGTAATGGGTACAAAATTATAGGTAGAACGAGTAAGATCTAGTATTTGATAGCACAACAGTGTGACTACAGTACATTTAAAAATAACAGAGTATAATTGGATTGTTTTTAACACAAAGAAAGGATAAATGCTTCAGGTGATAGATACCCCGTTTACCCTGATGTGACTATTATGCATTGTATGTCTGTATCAAAATATGTCATGTACCCCATAAATATATACACCTACTATGTATCCACAAAAATTAAGAAAAAAGAGAGAGAAAGAAAAGGCTCTTCACCAGCACACCAACCTCGAAAATGGGAGGTCTCATTGTGAGGGCTTCAAAGTTTTACAGAATCTTTAGGTCTTATACCTTAAAAATAAATAATGCTCATGCCTGTAATCCCAGCACTTTGGGAGGCCGAAGTGGACAGATCATGAGGTCAGGAGATCGAGACCATCCTGGCTAACATGGTGAAACCCCGTCTCCACTAAAAAAATACAAAAAAATTAGCCGGGCGTGGTGGCAGGCGCCTGTAGTCCCAGCTACTCAGGAGGCTGAGGCAGGAGAATGGCGTGAAGCCGGGAGGCGGAGTTTGCAGTGAGCCAAGATCATGCCATTGCACCCCAGCCTGGGCGACAGAGCACGACTCCATCTTTAATAAATAAATAAATAAATAAATAAATAAAGCAACATCTATAAAGGTTAATTCATTAAACTCTCTGTACAATATTTTCAAAAGAAAGAAACTTCATTTTAAAATTATACTTTAAAGTCAATAAAGTGTAAAGGAATATTTTGTGAAAGCAAGTAGAATTTTAAAAGACAGGATTACAGATTATTTATTAGCGTAACTCAAAACTAGCCCCTATGTGAGCCATACAATTATAAATTGGCTAGGTTTTCTCATTTCCCCGAACATAACCAATCACCAACAGCAGAAGCTTCAACAGTTACTAAACTCTTAACAGGAGGCAAACCACTTAGCTCAGCTCCACTGAGTCCAGAATGTAATTAGCACATCTCTTATAAGAAAAAGATAATCCCAGCACTTTGGGAGGCAGAGGCAGGTGGATTGCTTGAGCCCAGGAGTTTGAGACCAGCCTGGGCAACATAGAGAGATCCCATCTCAAAAAAAAAAAAAAAAGTAAGAAAAAGAATGTTTCTAATACCCAAGGTATGAATAAAGAGCTTGTTTGGTAATACCTGAATTGAGGAGATCACTTAATCTCCAAGGAGATCACTATACTTTTTCTAAGTATTAATAGTGGAATTTTCAAATGGTAAGTGAAGAGTAATGTGACTTAAAGTACTACATGAATTTAAAATTAAACAGTTCAGCCAGCTAACTTGACAAATGCCAATGTTCAAATTAAAGGACTTTTTAAAAGACAAATGAGTAATAATACTTATTACGAGTAGTACAATATATTTACTACCATATTTATTAGTGAGGAATACTTTATAGATATTAATTCATTTAACTCTAAAAACAACTGTATAAGGTAGGTATTATTTAATCATTCTTATTTCATAGATAAGGAAACTGAGGTGAGAGGATCACACATGAACTAGCAGACCAAAATTAAAACTAAAACTGCCTGACACACACAACAAACAACAGGGATGACTCTCGGAAAACAATGCTGAGCAAAGAAGTCAAAAACAAAAAATATCATGTGGTTCCATTTAAACCAGTTCAAAATCAGGCAAAATTAAACTATATGTTAAAAGTCAGATGGCAGTTATCTCTAGGGAAGAAAAGGGGACGGGAGAGCTGGGAGGGATCATGAGAGAGGCCTCTGAGACGCTGTTAATGTTCTATTTTTTTTTACCTTGGTAGGGTTAGATGGATATGTTCATTTTGGAATGAATTATCATGCCATATCTAGCAGGTCCTCAAATAATGTCATTTTGTTCGTCATCTCCTTATAATGCTGAGGAGGAAAAAAAAAAAAAAAAAAAAAGATTCCTGGCTGAGGCCATTGTCTGTATGGTGTTGGCATGATCCCTCCATGTCTGCATGGGTTTTCTCCTGGTACTCCAGTTTCCTCCCACATCCCAAAGATGTGCAGCATGTTTGGTTAACTGGCATGTCTAAATTGTCCCAGTCCGAGTGAGCGTGGATGTGTGTTAGTGCGCCCTGCAGTGGGATGGTATCCTAATCTGGGTGCGTTCCTGCCTTGTGCCACGAGCTGCTGGGATGAGCTCTGGCCATCCTTCTAATGAGCCCGAACTAGAATAACTGGGCAAATAATGATCTTGTTTTTATTCATCTTTCTTAAATGTACATACAGTCACATTTCTTTCAATGTTTAATATTAGAAGTGTTTCAGGTCTTCATGCAGAAGTTTGGTGACATTATATAACCAAGGAATTTAATTCTTGTTTATATCAATTAGCCTATGGTAAGATTGGCTTTGTCAGTTTCCAAGAACCCATCAACGACATTAAGTGAGGACTTACTGTATAGACAATTTATGTGCTTTACAGTAAACTTCATTTTTAAAAAGAAGTATATAAGTCGAAGTATATAGTACTAAAGTTAAATTTTACCTCTTAAAAAAACCCCAAAATTTATTTAGAATAGGCACTGAGATTAAATACTTAGATATTGTAACAGGTACCCAGAGAATATGGCCATTTAGATTTGCTGGTGATTTAATGAAAAGCATTAATTGTAACACTGTATTCCCTATGTGACTATAAAGACATTTCCTCTAAGCATTCCTTAAACTGATGAAAAACTATCTGTAAATTATACCGAATTTAGGCTCTGAAATTCAGTAACAGAAGCTATTTGCTATTCTGAAATTTAAACCACAAGCTTTAAATCTCCTATATGTACAGCATGGTAATTATACAAAGAAAATAAATTTTGCAAACCAATATGCAAAGGTACAGAGACATTACTTACCTCTATAATGAATGGTAAATACGAAGCATAACATGTGCAGATGCTGAGGGTCTTACCTTTTATATCTTACTCCGGGATTTTCATCCAAGGTGGCACACACTGTAACTATCTGGTCAGCCATTGCTTCCATAATGGCATCTTTTCCCTTTGCATTACCAGGGTCTGGACTATAACAGTAATAGAATGCATCTGGTACATCAAGAGTATACACCTAAGACAAAAAAACTCATTGTCAATCTGGAGACGTGATTAAAAAAAAATTTTATACACACACACACACACACACACACACACACATATCAAGAAAATGCGGCAATTATTTGGGGCAGTTAAAAAAATGCTTGCACTAACCATGCTGTTTCCTGAAACAACTGTGTCTTTACCTTAATCAAATCTCATTTTCTCTGTCATCTTGATTTCATCCTTTCTTTCTCTCTCCTTTCCTGCTTAGTCTATCTCTCTCCTTCAATCTTGTTTCATATACAGATTGTACTGTCTGCTTTTTACTACCTGTGCAACAGGTGAAGGAATCTGAGGTAGTCAAACTAAAATAAAAATCTAACTCCTAGTACAAAGAAACACAACAGTACCAAAATCGGCCTATATATCAGACATAAATTAAAACCCTTAATCCATTAAAGAGTAACCCAGAAATCTCCCATAGTTGATACATGTCTTCAGTTCTTTAGCTTATACTCTTCATGTCCTTAAAATAAGAGACATACTTCCCCAAAAGACACGGCATTGTGCTAGACATAATGTAAATCTTACTATACGTATGTACAGCAAAACCTCACAGATACACTCATTCATTCAATTAACAAAATAATTTACTTATGCACAAAAAACTGGATTACAGGATTTGGAGGATATAAAAGCAGGAGCTCCCTAAATTGTATTGAGAGTTCCCCATTAAACTAAGTTTTGTCGTTTTTTAAACAATGACAATTTCTCTTAAACTATGAAAATTTATTGTAAGTAAAAGTAGGCAAGTAATTATAGGTTAAGTAATGAATTATGAATAAATGTCTTGCATTTCCTTTTACACACAGTCATTCATTTATCTGGACATAACCCAGCACCAACAACAGCAGCCTGAACATAGATGAAAATTTAGCTGTGGCTCACCCACTTATCTCTTTCCTGCTCAAAGGCTAGGATGCTGTATTAACTGTCAACAAGCACCCTACACTTGAATTATGGCTTCCTCATAGTGTAATATCCCACAGCAGGAGATAACATTATTCGTTCAAAAACTTTTACTGCACAGCCGCCCAAGGCTTCTCCCTCCCAACCTCTGATACCAGGTTTGGCCATGGTCATGTGTAGGTTTGTTTTTGTCTTTGTTTTTTAAGACGAGGATTCACTCTGTCACCCAGGCTGGAGTGCAGTCGCATGGTTATAGCTCACTGAAGCCTTGATGTCCTGGACTCAAGCGATCCTCCCGCCTCAGCCTCCCATGTAGCTAGGACCACAGGTACGTGCCACCACACCTGGCTAATTCCTTTTTTAAGTTTCTTTGCAGAGACAAGGCCTCACTTTGTTGCCCAGGCTGGTCTAGTACTCCTGGGCTCAAGCGATCCTTCCGCCTCGGCCTCCTAAAGTGCTGGGATTACAGATGTCAGCCACTGTGCTCGGCCTGGAATGTATGTAGAAGATACACGTGCTACTTCCCAGCAGAAGCTTTAAAAGCCATTGTGTGGCTCCACTATTTTCTCTTTTCCCTCGGCTATGTCCCAGACTAGCCCTTTGGCCTCAGTACTAGAAAGTAGAGGATGTAGAGCAAAGCCCCAGCCAAACAACAATGGACAACACAAATGAGAAATAAACCTTTGTTGTTGTAATGCACTGAGATCTGGGGGGTTCCTACCACAAATTAATCTAAGCTAATACCCCAATGTACCAAAGATAATCTGGGGGCTGGTTCTCATTCTATACTCACATTTCCTCCATTTCCCTCTTCCTCTACCTCCTCCCCACTTTCCATCACCATCATTAAAAGTTTTTTAAGACTACTGCCACATGCTTTTTTCATCTTTATAAACCCATAATCAGCTCCTTAAATACAGATCCTGTCTTCCATCTACTCTTCATGCTAATCTATAGCTAGCTTGTTTCTATCTCTACCAGATTCCTTCCAGCATCCTCTCTACTAACTGTACCAGACTCTCTGTACTCACTAAGGTTCACTGTAAACAAACTTCCTCATATTCTTGAATGCTTTCTATTTTCATTTGACCTTTGAACAACAAGAGTTTGAACTACACAGGTCCACTTATATGCAGATTTCTTTCAATAAAAGTTACAAAGAGTGTGCCTGCCTCCCCTGCCACCTCCTCTGCCTCCGCCGCCCCTGAGACAGCAAGACCAATCCCTCCTCTTCCTCCATCTCTGCCTACTCAACTTGAAAATGACAAGAGTAAGACCTTCATAATAATCCACTTCTACTTAATAGTAAGTGTATTTTCTCTTCCTTTTGATTTTCTTAATAACATTTCCTTTTCTTAATAACATTTACTGTGTTATAACACAGTAAATAAAACATAAAAAATATGTGTTATTCTATTGTTTATGTTATCAGAAAGGCTTCCACTTAACAGCAAGCTATTGGTAGCTAAGTTTTTGGTGAGTTAAAAGTTATACACAAATTTTTCAACTGCACAGGGGGTTGGTGCCCCTAACCCCCATGTCATTCAAGGATCAACTGTACTTGCCTTATTACGTATGTGACAGCATCACTTACCTTAAATCCTCTGAAAGGGAAAGAAAGATCTCTCTTTAGTCCCTTTGACTCATGGAATCACCATGAGGACTGAGTGAATCTTCTTTCTCTCCATGTAATTTGAAATGTGTTGATGTTCAACTTTATTTCTTTGAAGCACTATCATATTTGACTTTACCAATCTCTCTGCAATGATCTCCTGACTTTTAGGACTCTACTTTTCCTTAAGGACTTTAGGAGCAGTTTCACAGTTTTCTGCACCAGCTAATTTTCTGTCATTATTTTTGATGGAACCTGAAGTCTCCTACATACAATATAGCCCCAACCTACCTACAGAGAGCCTATCTTTCATTCCTTCACCCCTTATAAGCCACATTCCTGATGTTCTCCTGCACTCTTCTGATTTTGTATCTTTACATCTAGATTATTTTCACCTCCTAACATGTTCTTTCCCTCTTCATTACTACTTTATAAAAATATATCCATTCTTCAAATATTTTCCCAATCTCCTAGTAAGAATTAGCCTGTCTCAATGCTGGGTGCAGTGGCTCATGCCTGTAATCCCAGCACTCTGGGAAGCCGAGGCAGGTGGATCGCTCGAACCCAGGAGTTCGACACCAGCCTGGGCAACATGGTGAAATACCATCTCTACTAAAAATACAAACAAAACCTAACAAATCCTGGCTCCTAAATGCATGAGATGATGGATACATTCCTTGTATCATTATACAACATAGATATGTATCAAAACATCAAATTGTACCCCACAAATAGGTACAATTACAATGTATCAAATAAATAAATATTTAAAAAGAGAATCTCCCTCCTTTTGTGGCCGACTACAAGATGCCTCCCCAACAAACATCCTCCCCTTACTTTTCAGCAACTGCACTTCAGTTCTTTATGAAGAACAGCCATATATGTCCAGCTAAAATATTTTCTGTTTCCCATGCACTTATGTGTAGCCATGTGACTCCATTTTACCTAATGAGATAAAAATGAAAATCATTCTCTCATTCTTTTGTAAATCCTCAAATGATGATGTAATAATTCTACAGTATGACTGGGAATGGTGGCTTATGCCTGTAATCCCAGCAGTTTGGGAGGCTGAGGTAGGAGGACTGCTTGAGCTCAGGAGTTCTAGATCATCCTAGGCAACACAGCTAGACCGCATCTCTACTATAAACGAAGAAAAAATTAGCTGGGTGTGGTGGCATGCATCTGTGGTCCCAGCTACTTGGGAGGCTGACGCGGGAGGACTGTTTGAGCGAGACCCTCTCCCAAAGAAAAAAATAAAATTGGGCTGCCCACTTTGCGCATGTGCAGGTTGTGCGGTGGCAGGTTGCAGCAGGGTGCAGGTGCTATGGGCCTGAGCCATGTGCAGGCCATTTTCTTTGACCCGGACAACACACTCATCGACACAGGTGTGGCAAGCAGGAGAGGCATGTTGGAGGCGATAAAGCTCTTACAATCAAAATATCATTATAAACAAGAAGCTGAATTCAACTGTGACAAAGCTCAAGTTAAACTCAACAAGGAATGTTTTTGTCATTACAAAGCATGCATTACTGATCTAAGGACTTCACATTGGGAGGAAGCAATCCAGGAAACAAAATGTAGTGCAGCCAGTAGGAAATTGGCTGAAGAATGTTACCTCCTTTGGAAAACTACACATTTATAGCATATGACACTAAGTTCAGTGAGATGTCAATGCCACGTTCACTGAAATTAGAAAGGAGGTCTGCCTACTTTTAGTAATGAATGGGGTCAGGCAGACCCAGAGGGAGAAGATGAGGCTTGTGCCTGTCAGTCCTACGTCCAAGCTGTTGTAGGTAAACAGCAGAGAGGGGAGAAGCCAGCAACTTCCATGTTTTATTACTGCTGTAATCTCCTTGGAGTATAACCTGTGGACTGTGTGATAGTTGGTGACATGTTAGAAACCGACACACAAGGAGGTCTCAATGCAAGGTTGAAAGCAAAAGTATGGATCAATAAAATTGGAATAGTGCCACTGAAGTCCTCCCCAGTTCCACATTACATTTTTTTTTTTTTTTTTGTGCTAGGGTTACCTGCTCTCTTACAATGTACAGACAAAGTATAGACTGCAAAATCAGTATGCTGTTTTAAAGCACCTAAAAGGGCATGATTATGAATGTTAAGAGTCAATTTGTAGGGTTTGAGCTAAGAAAAGGCTTTCTGCTTACTATGGTCCAGCTCTAAGAATAATTTTACTTACGATTTAAGAGCCAACATTGTGAAGGTCCTCCCAACTCAACTGCTTTTTAGTTTTGACAACTAACCACTGACTGGTATTTACATCTGAAAATTCAGACTGCATTAATCCAAGTCAGCAGTGTGGCCCAGAAAACTTGAGGAAATATATTCTTTGCTAGTCTGTGACTGAATATTTTAAAAATTATTTTATTAATCTTTTAGAATCTTGGTTCCATACCAAGCAGGAGAGCTTACATATGGATGCACAAATGTAA